GCTCCCATAGTAGCTGGATTACAGGCACACACCCACACGCCCAGCTATTTTTTTTTTTTTAAGTAGAAATGGGGTTTCACCATGTTGGTCAGGCTGATTTTGAACCCCTGACCTCAGGTGATCTGCCTGCCCTCAGCCTCCCAAAGTGGCTGGATTACAGGCATGAACCACTGTGCCAGCCTCTATCTTCCATTCTTTAAAAAATAAATCACCTGTCTTACTTGTCACCCCAAATTAATTAAAATTTTATTTGTATACTACTTACCAAGCATGAACCATGACTTTCAATATGTGTTATTATGGGTTTTCTTTTTCTCAATTCTAAGGAGGTGGAGCTTGCGGTGAGCCGAGATCACACCACTGCACTCCAGCCTAAGTGACAGAGCGAGACTCCATCTAAAAAAAAAAAAAAAAAAAAAACTGTTTACAGCGGTTTCTAGAAAACACTGTAAATCTAGAAGTAAAAAAAACTAAAAAAATTAAGGAGTAGAAAAATGTCTTTTGTTCCATTACACAAAGTTCAAGTGAAAGGGAGAATACTAAATATATAATTTTTTCAAGCATCCCTAGGGATAGCCTGAGAAGGCTCATAATATAGTAAAAATACATATATATTTTAGTTTTAATCCTTCAAACCCTTTGCTATTTAGTAAATATTCATTAGGCTGCTGCTAAAGTGATTGTGGCTTTTGCCATTACTTTTAAATCTTCTAAAAGCACCAACCTAATACTAGGTAAATATTTAGATTTAACATGCCTAGAAAGCATTCTCTCAAAATACTTATACTTCACCAAGGTTAAAAAGTTTTCTATGCTTTTATACTTTTCTGTTTCCCCCTACTTCATCTTTTGTTTTTCTTGAATCCTCAGTAAATTTTCGTAACTAATTATGTTTTCACTCTCTCCTGAATTTTCATTCTAGAGGCAAATAACAGTAGAATTAAAAGACTAAGTTGCCTTGCTGGTTCATAAACAACTTTTATTCCAAGATTACATCTTAAATCACCAAAAGCAAGGAAATGTTTTCTATCCCTATCAAGTGGTTTATCGTTAATGAGTGGCAAAAATTCTATTATTAAAAACAAAACAAAATTCAAGGGAGTAGTAGTTTTGGGACCCTCGAAGTATGCTTTAATTCCAGAAGGTGAATGAAGATTTAAAAGATTATTGGTGAAGACAGTATGCATATAAAATTTCACTGTGGTCATCTGATCCTATCATTGTACATCTTAACTACTACATATTAATAGTAGTCTATATTTTGGTTATTCAAGATATATAACCATGGGAACTCTCCCCTCCTAACCCCTTCTTTGAATGCAGATTAATCTCACATTTCGTCTTCTAAATGATTTTAGCTTAAGGTACATTATTTTACTTAATAACTATAAAGGCTATGAAAAGAAAGCTACAATGAAATGCTATTAATGCAGACCAAAAACATGAAAATACATAGAACACTTACTGGCTCTGTTAGTGTTGTATCTTTCTCCAGGAACTGTACGACACAATATGCTAGCTAAAAGGTAAGGGACAGTTTATAAATATTACTGAGTGAGATAACATTTAATAATGTAGGATTTTTTTATATTTAGCCAATATTTTTTAGACTACCTCATTTTGATAAATTATTTTGATATATAAAAATATACTCACAATTGTGAATGAAATTGTGAAATACCTCAGTCATGAAACTATACTCACAATTGTGTAACTTTTTAGCCTTGAAAGTAACTTCAAGTTTAAAAAAGATTTTTTGCAGTAATTTCTGACTATAAAGTTAACTGAAGTAAGACTAGAGCTAACAATTTAGTTTTTCAGCATGTTTCTACATATACACCTATGCTGATATATTATTCTCTAAATATTAATAGAAAAGACCAAAATCTCTCTAACTAGGTCTAGGTTATTGCAGCTGGAAGAAACATTCTGTAGATATGTGAGATTTATTGGAAGTCACATATTAGGTCAAGGCCTGGACTAAAATATGAGGAAAGTGTGTATCTTACACTTAAAGTGTAAGTGTAGATATAGAAATTAAATAATTGGTCTTAACAACTAAATATTTTAAAATGATAACAAAAATTTGCTTTGGGTAATTTTGTAAGCAAATTGCTTATACTTAAAACTGTCATCTCAATATTTCTCAATTTCTCTGCCTTTATATTTGCCTTTGAAATAATATTCATTTCATTTGAAATTTTTCTGAAACTTACCTGAGCATGAAACAAAGCTAATCCTTTTGCAGTATGCATAGGAATAAGAACCTTCATTAGAAATTGTTTATGTTCTGCTTTCAGTGGCAATGCAAAGCCATTGATAATACTGGAGGGAAAAAAAGGCAGGGGAAGGGTTAAGTAGTTACTACTTTGTTTCTAAAAGCTGTCATATCCATGAGTACATAAGGAACAGTGCTCTGTTTCAATCCTGGTGTTGTATGACCGTTCATCTTCAAACTACTTTAGGAAGACTATTACTATGAAGTCTGTTCCTCTAAGTCATTTGATGATTCCAAAAGAAAATTAGGACTGTCAGTTAATTCCCAAGTAAGTTCTATCTTTATTTTCTATCAAACCTGTCACTTTATGTGTTGTTGCCTTTATTTTTCCCCCCAAGGCCCCAGGAGAGTCAGTATCATAATATTGTTAGAACGTTCAATATTTTCTGAAGTAAATGGGTAGTTTTTCTTACTTTGTTGGATAATCTGAAATTAAGAAGTAGTTCTCTCCACAATCATTTTCTACTATTAATAAAGGAAACTAAAATCATTCTCTAAATAGTAACAGAAGGGTCTAAAATTCTCTTAATACTAATACGTAGTGAATAAAGAAGGCAAAGTGTTATGGCAAAAGGTAGTAAGAATTCAGTTGAGGCTGGGCGTGGTGGCTCACGCCTGTAATCCCAGCACTGTGGGAGGCTGAGGTGGGTGGACTGCCTGAGGTCAGGAGTTCAAGACCAGCCTGGCCAACATGGTGAAATTCCATCTCTACTAAAAATAAAAATACAAAAATTAGCTGGGCGTGGTGGCAGGCACATGTAATCCCGGCTACTCAGGAGGCTGAGGCTGGAGAATTGCTTGAACCCGGGAGGCAGAGGTCGCAGTGAGCCGAGATCGCGCCATTGCACTCCAGCCTGGGCAACAAGAGTGAAACTCCAACTCAAAAACAAAAAACAAAAAAAAAAACCTTCAGTTGAGAAACTATGGGCTCTACATTTAAACTCTAAAATATGACATAATTTCTCCAACCCCAGCTAAGATTTTAATACATAAAACATTCAAAGTTACTTCTTAGAACAAAAAAACCTGACCTACCTTCCTAATATTTCAAGAAGTTCAGCAACACCATTGAAATGTTCTGTTTCATATATAAACCTGAATTTAAAATAAAGACAGATGTAATCAAAATCAAACTTCAGAAAACTAAGAGAAACAGGCAGGAGGGTGAAGAAATCAATCCAAAGGACAGCTATTAGAAACACACAAGCATGTTTTGGGTCTTATCAGCTCTTTTGCCCCAAACCAATTAATTCATATCAGTCTTACAAAAGAAGATCTGTTTCCTAATGAACTACATATGCCTTTGCCAAAACTTGCCATATGTGAAGATAACAGATTGTCATTTCACCTGGAATATTCAACTTAATTTATAAGAAAGATAAGTTTTCTCAAAGAAATACTTTTTAAAATAAGAAACCTCTAATTATAGGGAAATCCAAGAGAAAAAGGCCCATATGTAATAAAGCCATTTTTAATCAGAATTTCTTTAAACCTCTAACTATATGGGCTGCATAGCTTTCCAAGATTAGGGTTGCCTTTAAAGCAGGGAGACATAAATAGAATAGGGTAGATATTTGAAATGGGCTTAGGAAGTGATGACAGAGAACTGGAGAAGGATACTCACTCTAGAGAAGGCAGGTATTACTCATCTCTAATTGTTGCAATGTGGGAATAGTAACCAAATTTTGCCAGATCTTCAATTAATTAAAACAAACCAAACCTTAAATGTGGGTGTTGTTATGAAATCTCCTGACCTGAAGCAACTACTTAACAGATTAATATTTATAAAGTACACTTGGCTCTCTGTATCCACAGGTTTCATATCCGTGCATTCAATCAACTACAGATCAAAAATATTTTTTAAAAAGAAATACAAATTTAAAATATAGAATAACATATATTTGCATAGCATTCACACTGTATTATTATAAGTAATTGAGAGATAAAGTATACAGGAGGATGTGTGGACGTTATATGCAAATACTATGCCATTTTATATAAGGGACTTTGGATTTTAGTATTAGCAGGGGCCTTGGAATCAGTCCCTCACAGATACTGAGGGATGACTACAAGCAAATGATAGGCCCCACATAAGAGGATTGCTTGAGTTCAGGAGTTCAAGACCAGCCTGGGCAACACAGTATACAGACCTTGTCTCTACTAAAAGTCAAAAAAATTAGCCAGGCGTGGTGGTGCACACCTGTCGTCCCACTACTTGGCAGGCTGAGAGAGGAAGATTGCTTGAGTCTGGGAGATGGGGGCTACAATGAGCTATGTTCTCACCACTGCACTCCAGCCTGGATGACAGAGTCAGACCCTGTCTCAAAAAACAAAGACAACTTGAATACAAGAAGATATGTAGGAGGAAGAAGTGCAATATACAATAAATGATTAATTTACCTGAGGAAAATGTTGTTAATTTGTTTTCTGATGAATGCTCTTAATCCAAGAAATTTCCCATAAATTCGGTGCAGAACAGTCTTCAGGAAGTCACGTTCTCTGGGATCTTCACTATCAAAGAGCTCCAGGAGCTTTAAAAGAAATCTGAGAAATTACTTTTAAAAAATAATTGAGCTAAAGCTTTATTCTAATTTTGATTTGAAAGATTATCCATGACATCTTTTAAAAATTTTTTAGAGTTCTGCCTTACCACACTGACTTTATTCTTGCTAAGTAATGAAGTTGAGGAAAAGCTTAGGGAATATTTCTTCTCACTTATTTCACTTCAAAATATGACATTTACAATAAATATAAATATTTCAAAAAGTGGATTTTTCTTTACCTTCCCACTGATCTTAAAATTCCATCCTACTCTTGAATACTAAACAGGCTCACAATTTTGGAGTGTTAAAATTTGGGATTTTTAATGCTTTTTGAAAGTCAAACTACATGGAAAATCTTTTAAGTTTTTAGATTGCAAGTCATCAAATAGTTTAAAAAAATCCATGTGTAAATGTATATTTCTAGTTTAATAGAAAGATGTACACATACTAAGACTACTTTTTGTGAATTTACAATAAATTCAAGATAGTTACCATGCCAACAGTTGAAAAATTAACGTTCAGTTATTAGGATAAAATATTGGCAGATACATACTAATAGAATGGAAATCAGATATAAAATAACACTAGAATAAAAGATGAGACCAATTTTTTTTTTTTTTTTAAAGACAGAGTTTTGCTCTGTAGCCCAGACTGGAGGGTAGTGATGCAATCACAACTCACTGCAGCCTCGACCTCCTGGGGTCAAGAGATCCTCCTGCCTCAGTCTCCCAACTAGCTGGGACTACAGATGCATGCCACCACGCCCAGCTAATTTATATATTTTGGTAGAGATGGGGTTTCACCATGTTGCCCAGGCTGGTCTCAAACTCCTAAGTGCAAGCAATCCGCCCTCCTCAGCATCCCAAAGTGCCAGGATTATAGGCGTGAGCCACTATGACCAGTCTATAGCTTTTTCAGCTTAGCAAATAGCTAAAAAATTTTAAACCAGTTCCACAATCAGCACTCTCCTATACCTCAACTGGCCCAATCAGCGCACTCCTATACTCTGCACAACTTTTCAGCAAAACCTGAGAGAAGAGACTTTAGAAAAAGTTAAAGTCAAAATCTCAAATTTCCATTTACAATGGTAAAGAAACTTAATTTCTTCTGTCAAAAAAACCAATATTATATTTTAAACATTGGATTTTCTTAGAAAAATATAAAATACTCTCTTTAGAGTACAAGTATCTGTAAAGCTGTCAAGGAATTTTATGTTCTGAACTTTCGTGTTTATAATTACAATAAAGATAGCAAGCTCTAAACCTCATCAGAAGTTCTTATTCCATTTTGTTTTGAATTATATATAATTGCTAACACATGCATCTGAAACCACAGTGGATGACTTAAGTCATATTTATATCTCCCAAAACAACTGACATACTTATAGTTTCCATTCTTTGTTTGCTAGGCTGTTGAGGCCCTCATGAGACTCCAGCAAAAAATATCTATGGAATATGAGAATTTTTGTTACTATACCTAATAAGTTCAGATAAAATTATTCTAATTAAAAATGGCAGCCAGGCAAAGTGGCTCTCAACTGTAATCCCAGCACTTTGAGAGGCCAAGGCGGGCAGATCACTTGAGGTCAGGTATTTGATACCGGCCTGACCAACATAGTGAAACCCTGTCTCTACTAAAAGTACAAACAAAAATTAGCCAGGCATGTCGGCACACCTGCAGTCCCAGCTACTTGGGAGGCTCAGTCAGGAGAATCGCTTGAACCTGGGAGGCAGAGGTTGCAGTGAGCCAAGATCCAGCCACTGCACTCCAGCCTAGGCAACAAGAGAGAAACAGCCATATAAACTGCTAAAAGCAATTACTGGGCCCTAGCTTCTCAGATAATTTAAACATTTAAAGTAGAAGGTAGAAATAGATCCTGCTCCACCAGTTTTATTCTTGCTGCCCTCACACCACAAAATAATACAGCAGCCTAAACACCTCAAGCTCTAGACTAACAAAGCACTAAGGCAACTGTTCCCCTCAACCTGTTATTGTATTAAATACAATTTCATATGGCATTACTAGACCTCCCTACTGTATCCCACACAAGAGCTGCACAAGGAAATAAACAGGCGTTCATTTACAATTACCAAAATAACATAACTCCATTTAATCTAATTTTAGTCATGATTAAAATGTATATGTTACTGTTAATACACACCTAATATTTCTTTATAGTTTATGAATAGCTACTTCAATGGTTCAAGGAAATATTTTAGGCTGACAATGTTCTTCATTTATCAATCTTTCACAGCAACTGCTCAGAATACTTTATATGAGGTCAAGGGTAGTTACGAATGACCAAAAATGAGCTCTAAACATACCAAACTCACATTCGTAGAATCTTTATCATAGGGCACATACAAAGTAGTCTGAAGGATAGGAAAGGTCCTTGCAATGATTTTAATCCTGGCCTCAGCATCAAATTCCTAAAGAGGCCTGCATACTCAGGCCTAGAAAGGCTTAGTCTACTTCACAATTTTCTTTGGGGCCGGCCAATTCCATATAGTTAAAAAGGGGCCTTTAGGCCAGTGCAGTGCCTCACACCTGTAATCCCAGCACTTTAGGAGGCTGAGGCGGGAGGATCCCTTGAGGCCAGGAGTTCAAGACCAGCCTGGCCAACATGGTGAAACCCCATCTCTACTAGAAATAGAAAAAAAAAAAAATCAGCAGGGCATACCCGTGGTGTGTGCCTGTAGTTCCAGCTACTTGGGAGGCTAAGGCAGGAGAACTGCTTGAACCTGGGAGGTGGAGGATGAAGTGAGCTGAGGTTGCACCACTGCGCTCCAGTCTGGGCAACAGAGCAAGATTCCCTCTCAAAAAAAAAAAAAAAAAAAAAAAAGAGGCCTTTAAATTTTTGAAAAGGTTTTGAAAATAAAAATATATTCTTAGAAATTGTGAATATGTAGGTTCTAAAAATAACAGCCAATAACCAGTTTATATAAAGAAAAAAGGCATCACAATTAACTTTACCTCCTTATATTCTTAATGATTCCATTTTATCTGTGGTTTAGAAATTGGGTGGTGGGATGCTTAGGTGCAAAAAGGAAAGAAAAAGGGAAAGGTAATTGATACTTAATGACAGGAAAGGAGCCTAAAGCCCAAATTCCTCACAATGATTCTATTCCTTTTTTCCCCTGTCATTTCAAAGTCCCAATGCTTAAAATATATGTCAAGTTCAAAGACTTACAAATGTAAAACAAAAGATTTCCCTTGGATTGAATGGTCATACCAAATTTTCTTAGATACTGCAGAAAGGCTTGTTTTTCTGGTATTTATAAAATAACTATGATACTTTAGGATTAAATAGGATAATCTGATTGACTTCATTAGACGCTTACCCTTGATAAAAATACTCATATTCTCAGAGCTACTTCACTTTTATTCTAATTGTTTGGCAGTAATATTAAGTGCTGTCAAATTAAAATAAACCATTAAAGTTTTGAAAGACTACTCTATTTTAATCATAAGTTAATAAATCATTGCTAAGATGAATATAAGAGAATCTAAGACAAAAGAGTTCCTTACCTGTTGTACGAATTTCTGATCAATGTATCGCTTTGCAATGCTAGGCTGGAAATCAGGGCTCTCCAAAAATCTCAAGAAGAATTCATATACCAACTATGAGAGAAAGTCAAATAAAAGCTAAGATGATGGCTATAAAATATTACCCTAAATTATCACTTCATATTAAAAACACACCTGTTCTTACCAACTTAGTAGGGAGATTTCAGATCTCATAATGAGATCTGAAAATGTAATAAGTTGATAAAAAAATTTTTTAAAAAAAATTCATGCCTGTACTCCTAACATACTTTAGGAAGCGGAGGTGGGAGAATCACTTGAGCCCAGGAGTCTGAGACCACCCTGGACAACATGGTGAGACCTCTGTCTATACAAATAATCAAAAAATTAGCCAGGCATGGTGGCGTGTGTCTATTGTCCCAGCTACTGGGAGGCTGAGGTAGGAAGATCCCTGGAGTCTGGAGGTCAAGGCTGCAGTGAGCCGCGATTGTGCTGTGTCACTGCATTCCAGCCTGGGCAACAAAGTGAGACTGTCTCAAAAATAAATAAATAAATAAATAAACCCAGAAACTATATATTCACAATTTGGTTTCCTAACATGATAAACTTTATTTATTGCTTTACATAACTTGATGCAAAACGTTAAATTACAGGAGCTAGAAAAGAAGGACAATGCCTATAAAATTAAATATTTCTTAATGAAATATATTCCTATTTTGTAATCCATACTCACTAGTAACAGGCTCCTTCCCAGTGGACTACTACCTATCTCAATTTAATCACTACAGAGTCTCTTAAATGCAGAGTCAACAACCCCCAGATAAGACAGGCAGTGTAGCCAGGCGCGGTGGCTCACGCCTGTAATCCCAGCACTTTGGGAGGCCAAGGTGGGCAGATCACGAGGTCCGGAGATCGAGACCATCCTGGCTAACACAGTGAAACCCCGTCTCCACTAAAAATACAAAAAATTAGCCAGGCGTGGTGGTGCGCGCCTGTAGTCCCAGCTACTTGGAGGCTGAGGCAGGAGAATGGCGTGAACCCGGGAGGCGGAGCTTGCAGTGAGCCGAGATCGCGCCACTGCACTCCAGCCTGGGCGACAAAGTGAGACTCCGTCTCAAAAAAAAAAAAAAGACAGGCACTGTATTATTAATTTTTAAAAAGAAAGGAAAAGAAAAACTTCTGGTCTTTCTATAAAACCACAGTAGGAAAACTCATTAAATCAAAACCAGCATATCCTATCCACACTTGAGAAATAATGAACCAAATTACATAAGTACAGGGCTAGGGAAGAAATGTCTGTGTACCAACCACAGCAAATAAACTAGAAGTCACAGCAGGCCTTCTATAAAAGTGCCAAGCAACCTACAAGTAATAGGAAATGTGCATTTGCTACCACAAATCAGAATTAAATACTTGGTTGAGCTTGTCACTATCACACCTGCTTTCAAGGAGAAAGGCAAATATGACTAAAGTTTTTTTTATTGTAACCTAATAGCTATAAAAAGGCAGAAACTTAGACCAAAATGTATCTTATTAGCTATTAAACAATACTATATCAATTTAACACCCTAAAAATTAAAAAGGAGGATTCTATCCCAAAGCAAAAACAGTCATTCAATAAACATTTAGGTAGCCAGTTAGATTAGATGCAGAAGGAAGAAAAGGGAAAAGAAAGATTGCTACGCTAAATTAATAGACGTTATGGCAAACAAAAGCACTACCAGATCTAGGCCTTATCATTCACCAAGTAACAACACATTTTTATTACAGTGAGTTCAGTAACATTCTATGGCTAACAATGGTTTGGGGATCTGAGCAAATACAGTTTTGCCTGATGTATCTCTGCCCAACTGTGGAAAAGGAGTGATGCTTATCTGGTCTAATGTTACCTAATATTTTGTGTTTATTATAAATTAAGGATATAACAAGAAATAAAACTTGATAGCAATTTAAGTTTTTATTCATAGACAATTTTCTAATCAAACAACAATAAAGATAACAGATAATTTTGCTTTGGGGTATACACATGCAAAAAGATACACAAAACTGATCACGGAGTGCTCTGAAAAGTCGGCACAGTCTCATGGACTGCTATGCAGTTTCATTAATGGCACAACTTACTCACTCAATGCCTATTTTCATGTCCAGTACTGGGCTACGTATAGTATGAACAGACATTAGGGATAGTACGGCTTAAAAAGCCCATTCACTACACAATAATTATATTACGTGGCACAGACTATAAGTGCAGGAGCTATTTAGAAAAGGGCTGTATCACTGTGGAAAAGGTAGGAAAAGCTTTAAGGAGGATATGCAACTTGAGCCCTGTATTTGTTTCGATTCTGGATCCTCAGGAAGAGGATGGCTTTTATTTTATAGAAAGGTAGCAGCATGTCTTGATTTAAAAATATATATATTTATTTATTTTTAGAGACAGAGTTTCACCATGTTGCCCAGGCTGGTCTCGAACTCCCGGGCTCAAGCTATCCACCCGCCTCAGCATCCTAACGTGCTGGGAAATCAGGTGTAAGCCACCATGCCTGGCTTTTTTTTTTTTTTTTTTTTTTTGTCTTTTTAAGCAGCATGTCTTGAGATCAAGAGAGTGCAGAGTACAGGTTGATGGTATGGAATTATAGACTCCAAATCTTTATGCAAATCCCTGGAGATTCCATCATAAGGTGGGATCAGGTTAAACATGAGCCAAATGTAGCATGTATTAGCCTATCTACTCTCCCTTCTTAAGATCTTCATCAGAAATATAGGGCCTAAGGCTTAATAGTTTTCAGAGTAATAGCCTGTCCTATGGGAGACTTTTATGACATCAAGCTACAAATCAAACTGAATTCTCTAAACCGTATATATAAATTGAAACCTGTGCCATTCACGAATACCACATATAATTTCTTTCATAGTTTTCATCTACATTATTTACCTGACACAGTGAACATTAGGTGATCAGTCAAAATTAGCAGCAAAATGCTGTTATGCTGCCAACTTAGCACCACTAAAGAGATGATGACAAAAAGTTACTTAAATATATATTGAGGGCCGGGTGCAGTGGCTCACACCTGTAATCCTAGCACTTTGGGAGCCTGAGGCGGGTGGATCACCTGAGGTCAGGAGTCTGAGACCAGCCTGACCAACATGGAGAAACCCCATCTCTACTAAAAATACAAAATTAGCCAGACATGGTGGCGCATGCCTGTAATCCCAGCTACTTGGGAGGCTGAGGCAGGAGAATCGCTTGAACCTGAGAGGCAGAGGTTGCAGTGAGCCGAGATCACTCCATTGCACTCTAGCCTGGGCAACAAGAGCAAAACTCTATCTCAAAAAAAAAGAAAAAAAAAATTATTGAATAGTTATCCCAAATAGAGGTAGAAGACACACTAGTGATCTACAGAGCTGGAAATCTTCAAAATGGAATAATCGAGATTATGCTTCTATAAAATTTATAAAATTTATCCTGTCCCAGTGTCACTCTCTATATACCCCATCCTACATTTTAAAAAATGTATCACACCCTAACATAGAATGTATGCCAATTATTTTATTATTATTTTGTTCTTCTCTGCTAGGATGTAAGGGATTTTGCTTAGTTCAGTACTTTACCCTCAATGTTTACAAAAATGCTTGACGCACAACAGATGCTTACTGAATGAATGGAAATCACATTTGTTAAGAGGTTGTGTTTCGTAAGCCACCATGCCTGGCTTTTTTTTTTTTTTTTTTTTTTTTTTTTGGAGACACAGTCTTGCTCTGTTGCCCAGGCTGGAGTGCAATGGCGCAATGTTGGCTCACTGCAACCTCCACCTCCTGGGTTCAAGCCATTCTCCTGCCTCAGCCTCCTGAGTAGCTGGGATTAGAAGTGTGCACCACCACGCCTGGCTAATTTTTGTATTTTTAGTAGAGACGGGGTTTCACCATGTTGTTCAAGCTGGTCTTGAACTCCTGACCTCATGATCCACCTGCCTCAGCCTCCCAAAGTGCTGGGATTACAGGTGTGAGCCACTGCGCCCAGCCTTCTATGGTCTTCTATACAAATAACTTGCTCCAAGAATCTAAGAAACAATGTTGCAAAGAAAAACACACATTTCACCAATGAATTCAGTTCACTAATAAAAAGGACAAACTTCACCTATGTTCAATGTATGGCTAGTCCTTCTACTTCTGTACACCAAAAATACCCTAAAAAATGAAAGATAACTAAAAAGTATAGGGAATTGAGGAGTGTAATCTTACCCTCCTAACTCAGTTCTGACCATGTCTTTCCTAAAGGAGTTAAAATAAAACATAAAATTCTGGTTTTCACCATTAAAAAGACTTGGGAGAAGTTCCAACAGAAAACAGCATGGATGATTAAAGTATCTGAAAAATAAGACCTATACAGAAAGCGAAAGGAATAGAAATGTTTGGTTCAGAGAGGCAAAGACTGAGAAGCAAACTTTAATGATCTACAAGTACCTAAGAGGCTGCTTTCAAGTAATACAGGTGACCAATGTTTTCCAACCTCTATTAAGAGGAAACTAACGTAAATAAGGTTTTTAACTGATTTACTATATAAAAGAATTCATATAAAAATTAATGCATACTCAACTATATATTACATATTAAGCACCCAAAAAGAACATTGCCTGGGATAAGGTAAACATTAACAAAATCTTAGTTTTTTTAAGAATCTGTTTTTCTCTGTAATCCTTGTGAAAACAATAGATTCTGCATAAACCTTGAATAGTTTAAATACAGTCAGCCTAGGTTTTTTTCCTCTGCTCTTTCATTCATAAGAACTAAAAAGATAATAACTATTCACAATTAAAAAGGCCAAAGCAATAAAAGTATTTCTTAACCTTATATAAAAGATATTCCTTTTTATTTTTGTGCCTATAAAGTTAGTGCATTAGGCTATGATTCCTACCATTTTGGATTCTTAGCCCGTGAAAATATTTAAAATATAGTATATGGCCAAGAGTTATTTGAATGTAAAGGGGTACACTGTAAAACATGTATGTTGCCAGTTTAAATTTCTAATTATATTGCCCAAACAGAAAAGCTCTCTAATCCCTAAAACACAAGTTATTCCTAAAAAGATCTATGTTCTA